GCGGAGCTCTGAGCACACAAGGCTGGTATCCGGAACCCGAGCCTCCGAGTCGGCACATCGAAGGATCTTCCGCGGTGACCAGCTGAACTTGGAGCCGGGGAGATGACGCCCTGCCCGGCCTGGCACTCCGAGGCTCCGGAGGGAGGATCGGGGTACACCAGCAGAGCTCCATCCAGCTTGCTCTGAATTATGTCATCGGCCACCAAGCACAAAAAATGCCAGCACATCAGCATTAGACCAAAATGTTGTCAGTATTGTTTTTAAAATCTTTAAAATAAGTCCAGTCGCTGCTCCAGTCCGAGAAATTGCAAATGGCGGATTATTGTTTTGAAAAGTTTCTGAAGGATCCAGTGACTCCGCCCCCGACTCCGCCCCCGACCAATCAGTGACCGACAGATTTCTGACGTCACGTTTTAGTACCTCTTCGTTCCGGTTAGAACCACAGAGCCAAGGGTACTGAAAATAGTAACAGGTGCTAAGTACCGGTACTAATGGAAAAGCCTCAGAACCGGGCCAAGTAGGGTCCAGTTGGCCCGTACCGGTACTAATGGAAAAGGGGCATAAATGAACTGTATCTGCACATCAGTAAGCAGCACAGTCCACCCTGATGCTTTTCTCATCTTGGCTGGCGATTTTAACCATGCAGATCTAAGGAGTGTGTTTCCAAAGACATCCAAACACACAAACTTTCCAACAAGAGGAAACAATACACTGGACCAAGTTTACACCACCATGAAAGGAGCCTACAAGGTCCTGCCTCTCCCCCACATCAGTGCCTCTGATCACATCAGTGTTATGCTAATGCCAGCATATAGACCAATGGTTAAAGTCACCAAACCAGTTTGCAAGCAGGTACGAGTGTGGCCGGAGGGCTCTTTAGAAGCTCTTCAGGATTGTTTCAGAGTCAGAGTCAGAGTTTCTTTATTGTCATTCGCACCTCATGTGGTACATGTGGTGGAGCGAAATTATGTACGCAGGGTCCCAGTTACATCCAACAATAAAATGTCTAAGAAAAACAGTAATAACATCTAAGATATGAACTAAGAAAAACATCAACTAAATATACACTAAGCACTCATAACATAAAACATTGAACATCAGCAATCATCATTCAACACCACAGATTGGAATATGTTCAAAAAAGCTGCTACCAAAAACAACAACACAGATCTTCAAGAGTAGTCAGATACTGTATGCTCATACATCACCAAGTGTATTGATGATGTAACTGACCTCAAGACCATCACTGTTCAGGCAAATCAGAAGCCATGGCTGACAGCAGAGGTCTACAGACTCCTGAGAGCAAGGAACGCCACCTTCACTGCAGGAGATCAGGTGGGCCTGAGGGCAGCCAGAAACAATCTGTCCTGGGGCATCAGAAAGGCCAAGAAGCAGTATTCCAGGAAGATAGCTCATCACTTCAGTGACAGCAAGGATACACGGAGTCTGTGGCGGGGAATACAGACCATCACAAACTACAAGCCAGCCCCACAAACCTGTGACAGCACAACCTCTACACTGAATGAGCTGAATGACTTCTTTGCTTGGTTTGAGGCATGGAACAGCACACCTGCACAGAAACTCTCCCCCTCTCCCGGTGACCAGGTACTGACGCTGTCCACGGACAGTGTAAGACAACCATTCAACAAGATCAACGCCCGAAAAGCTTCTGGTTCTGACAACATACCTGGTTGTGTGCTGAAGGACTGTGCAGTGGAACTTGCAGTGGTCTTCACGGATATCTTTAACATCTCACTGAGTCAGACCATCGTCCCCACCTGTTTCAAAGCCACCACCATCATCCCTGTCCCAAAGAAGGCATCGCCCTCCTGCCTCAATGATGATCGTCCGGTGGCACTCACCCCCATCCTGATGAAGTGCTTCGAACGGCTAGTCTTGAAGCACATCAACTCTGTTCTTCCTGCCTCCCTGGATCCCTTCCAGTTTGCATATTGGCTAAATCGTTCGACCGACGACACCATCTCCTCTGCCCTCCATACAGCCCTCACACATCTGGACACTAAGGACTCTTATGTTAGAATGCTGTTCATTGACTTCAGCTCGGCATTCAACACCATCATCCTCTAACAGCTCGTCCTTAAACTGGACAGTCTGGGGTTGAACACCTCATTGTGTAACTGGCTGCTAGACTTCCTGACCGGGAGACAACAGGCAGTACGGGTCGGCAGTAACACATCCAGCACTATCACAGTGAATACAGGGGCCCCCCAAGGATGCATGCTGAGCCCACTTCTATTCACCCTTCTGACACACGACTGCACACCATCATACAGCTTCAACTACTTTGTCAAGTTTGCGGATGATATGACTGTGGTTGGTCTCATCAGCAACAATGATGAGACAGACTACAGGAACGAGGTGAGCCGCCTGGCCTTGTGGTGCAGACACAACAATCTCTCTCTGAACGTGGATAAGACAAAGGAGATTGTTGTGGACTTCAGGAAGATGCATGCCCAGCATGCTCCTCTGACCATCAATGGTACTACTGTGGAGAGAGTGAGCAGCACCAAGTTTCTGGGAGTGCACGTCTCAGAGGACCTGTCCTGGAGGAGGAACACTGCATCACTGGCCAAGAAGGCTCACCAGCATCTCTACTTTCTCCGCAAGCTGAAAAGAGCTGGAGCTCCAACCCCCATCATGTGCACCTTCTACAGGGGCGCCATAGAGAGTGTCCTGACCAGCTGCATCACGGTGTGGTTTGGTGCATGTACTGCATCCTGCCGCAAGACACTCCAGCGCATCATGAGAGCAGCCGAGAAGATTGTCAACACCACCTTCCCGTCACTACATGACTTACACAGTACCCGCCTCACTCGGAAAGCCCTCTGTATGGCGGGCGATCCCACACACCCACTACACAGCTTCTTCAGCCTGCTGCCATCTGGGAGGAGACTGCGGAGTCTCCAGGCTCGAACTAGCAGACTGAGAGACAGCTCAGTTCATCAGGCAGTCAGGATGCTGAACTCTCTGCCTGCTCTGCCTCCCCTCCCTCTTGTACCGCCTTAACACACAAAACTTTCACACATTTCCACACAAGACAAAAACTTTTTAACACTGAACTCCGCATCATTAAAAAACGGGTTATACACTCAACACACGGTCACGTGCTCATTCAATTTGCACTACTTTTTACATTTGCACTACTGTTAATATTCAAACTACTGTTCATATTCAAACTACTGTTTATATTCATACCACTGTTCATATTCATACTACTGTTCATATTCATACCACTGTTCATATTCATACTACTGTTTACATTCACAATACTGTTTACATTCACACTACTGTTTATATTCACACTGCTGCTTATATTACACTACCGTTGATATACAAAGTATATATACATATGTATTACTAGCCTTATTGCATATGTCACTTTACCTACACCAATATCAAGGACTTCATACATATACTATGTACATTCACTTCATATGCTGCTTTGCCACTTACTACAAATATCAATGTCAGGACTTCATTTAATTTGATTTTATAGATATATTTAAAAAATATATTTTTTATACCGCTATAGTAAGACAGTATCATACTTTTATTATCCTGATGCATGCTCAATAATCCAGGTAGAAAAATCTAAAAAGGTTAAATCTGGTCCTCTGGTTTTTTTTAATGTCCAGAGGACCAGATTTAACCTTTTTAGACATACTTTTATTAATTCATTTTATGCTTATGTTTATTAAATGCTTTAATGTTAAATGGTTATTGTTACACCGGGGTCTGAGAGTAATGTAATTTCAACCCTGTGTATGTCCTGTACATATTGCAGTTTTTGACAATAAAGTGACTTTGACTTTGATTGTTGTCTGTACCTCACCTGTGTTCTTTGTTTAAAACAGGTCTCTCTTGTAAATGAGTCCTCGAGGCTCAATGAGACTAACCTGTATAAATAAAGGTTGAATGAAAATAAGTGTGTTGTGTGGGATACAAAGCAGGAAGAGAGAACTAGGCAAAGGATGCTAATATATTTATTCTGATAAGATAATTCAAGGTTTAAGGTGTGTGTTCCTTTGTAATGAAACTCTGGAACAACAATTTCCTGGAGGATCAATAAATGGGGGATCTAACCATATCTTATCTTATCTTAAGGTCCAAGGTTCTTTACTGTCATTTGCATCACATGTGGTACATCAAGTGGAACGAAATTGTGCACTCAAGGTCCCAGTTACACCCAAAAATACCAATAATATAAAGTATCCTAAGACTGAGTTTGTTGCAGCTCATCAGACTGAAGAAGTATTTTGGATAAAAGACAAAACATTCCAACAAGAAGAATCTGTCCAGAGGACCTGACTTTACTTTGTTCAATTTTTCTACCTGGATGCATCAGAATGCATAAGGATAGTATACAAGGATCTAATATATATGCTAAACAATATTAATATAATATAATAAGTTGTATTAAACAGCAGCCTGAACGTGAGTCTGTTGCGAGCAGATGGGTATGTATACATCAGCTTATGGGTAAGAAATCAGCAGCATAATCAGCAGCACAAATAAAGCGTCAAATGTCCAATTAAAGTGGCATTTTATTGGATCACAATGGCCACTTTCTTACAACTGTAAGGCACAAAGCTTTGGTAATAAGTGACTAAATTAGTCAAAATCCAAAAAGATGTTTTGACATATATGATTGTCATTTTCAGAAGAATCTATTGATTCTTCAGAAATCAGAAGATTTCTGCTGTTTCAGAAACAAAACCAAACAGTTTCAATTGTTTCCCTCGACAGTGTTCAAATTTGATTCACCGTAGACAGGTTGAAAGCAAGGACATGTCTTAATGTGGTTAATATAGATGCTTAACTTCAAATCTGATAAGCTAGCAAAGACATGAAAAGCAAATCCTACCTTTGGCTTGTTCCCATTAGCATCATACACCATCCTCCAGTCAGAGTCGTTATTGCTGTAGCTGAGATGAAACTTCTTCATGAAGACTTTGTTCTCCCGATATTTCCCACCCTGGATGATCAACCCCCTCACCAACTTCTCCTCACCAAGGTCCACCTGCAGCCATTCATTTGCGAAGGGCTGTGGCTGAGGTAGCAGGGTCCATCCTGTTCTGCTGGTAAGCAAGCGAGCATTCTCTGGTACCCAGTTACGATCTGTATGGGAGGATGCGGTGATCTGGTTGTCTGTGATCATGCCTGACACCATGCCCAGCATGCCTGAGCATGGGTACTCTAAAATAGAAAAGAAATTGAAAATCACACTTAACTTTTTGATGCAAATTATTGAAAAGCTGCAGTGATCTTTGATGGAACCACAGAGAACCTGATTTATAGCCAAAGCAAGTCCAAATGTTCAACAGCATCCAGTACACCACAAGTCTGGTTTGGTAAACTTGAAAGAAAAGAGGGCTTTTCTCCTAACTATTTGTAATATTACTGTATCTTTCTCTCTTGCTGTCAGTAGATCTTATGCATACTAATTCTTCTGCCTGAAGCAATTGTGTCCAGGCAGCCAATTAAAAACCTCTGCTCTGTTGGGGCTTCCACCTCCTGTATTCTGGGAGTCCTTTTTCTTTTCAGCTCTCTACCCCTCCCTACATAGATTCACATGCTTTCACTCAAGAAGGCCTTGTTGTGTTTAATCTGCTGCTGCAGCACTCATCTACCTTCTGCACCACAGCTGTCAACTTCTGTGGGAACTTATGTTTGAGCACCTCATTGTTTTCCCTCCATAATGTTGGATCTTTTCCCTTCCCCCTGTTCTTATCACTCCCTAGTCTGATCCTTTTGAACTCTTGAAAGTTTAAGCCTCTTTGCTTTCATTTGTTCAAAAATACCAATGCCTGTCTAAATGTTCTTATGTTTTAGTGGCATTATTTTTTAAACTGAGAGGGGTAACAACTTATTGCTACAGCTTGAAAACATGCAGATGCTCTGATCTCTTTATAATTTTACGCATATCTGTGATTTTATAATTGGGCAAAACTGGGGTGTGACTAGTGCCCAGCCTTAATATGAAACAGTTTTAAACTCAAAAGCAAGAATGAGTATGATCTTGGAAACAAACTAACTACAGCAGCAACAAGAAAGTAAGAATATGACTCATTATGCCCAGTGACTGGGCCAACAAGTGTTAGAGATACAGTATATTCAAACACCAAAGTGTTCTTCAAATAGAGGTTGTAATTTTTTATGTTTGTAACATAATTAATGAGATACACAGTGTCAGCAGTGAAAAAAATAAATACTGTAGCCATCACCCCTTTTCATTTGTAAGACAAACATATTGGATTGTGAATTTGGGGATGGTCAAGAATTTCAGATTTTCCGAGTTTGAATTGTGACTTAAAGGTGAATTGCCCACTTGGAACTCTAATTTGGAAATTTTAACTTCTCAGTACAAATAGAGCTCACTGTTATTAATTACTCACTTAGTCTGAGACCTGCTTTATCCAGGCATTATGACATGTCATGTGCCATATGAGACGAAGTGAATACTGCATTGCTGAGGCACTCAGCAACATGGCTGCATCTGGATAAAGTGAACAAGGGGTTTCAGAACAAGGCCTCGATCAGACAACCTGTCTTCGGTTATCTAAAACAGTCAACCCCCACCTCTCCACATACCACCACCAAATAAATAAATAAATACATTTAAAAAAAAATTCTTAGTTGTGCCGTCCAGAGAAAATAGCAAATGCTGTCTGTGCAAACCCCACATTTGGGGGATTGTACTCCTTTCTTCTTTCGTCTTTGGGCAAAATCTGTTTGAGTGAGATCAAAGAAGTTGGTCTTTGCAGAACACAGCTAAGGTCCTGCACTCCGAACGCCTTTGAAGTAGCAAGAAATAAGAAAAAGGTATGTGTGTGAATGAAAGGGCATGTGTGTGAAAGAGAGATAAAAACCAACTGATGTGACTTTAGACACTTGAGTGAACTCCCTGGATCATCTGGATCTCTTAATCAACTTCAGCTGTGATCACAGAAGCAGACGGGATACCATGAATGCAGGGACACGCACAGTGGAACTACCATTAATGTTTATGATTGTGTATGTGTGTGATAGATTTAAAGATGATGTAGGCCTCTGTGGGCAACATTCAGAGTTTGGGTGGAGAGTCAGTGGTGGATGAGAGCTATTTTTACACCATGGCATGTTTACCAGCAACGGGATGGTAGATTTTTCAAATAATGAGTAGTTGTCTGTATTAGCGGAGACACACAGCTGTAATAATTTATGGAGAAACTTTTTGTGACATTCAAACTGTCCTTTTTGAGTTGCCTAAATGGTATACCACCATCACTAAAATATTCACATTTTTAAAATGCTATTGAAGCTCTGGTTTTAGGGACTTCTAGCTCAGTGAAGAATAGAAGTAAAGTCACAGAGTTTAAGCAGCACTCAGCAGCTTTAGATTCTCCCCCACAGTGCTGGTAGCATGCAGCAGAGTTGGCAGAGTCTTCAGAGAGGCCAATGCTGCTGACGTCATCCAGAGACCATGCGGTGACTTCGATCCTGTGATGTGTTTGCGCTCAGTACGGTGGTCTGATTATGTGACCTAAACACATGCTCCAACTGTAACCCTGATGTACTCACAGCGTGCTATGCTACCATTTAAACAACCACACATTTGTTGCATCTGAGTGATCCATAATATCACAGACCATTCAAATAGTTATTTATGAAGACAGATTGTTTTCATATTTTTTTACATTTAAATAGACTGGAGATTTAAATGAACAGCTGTTTCCACAAAAGCCAATCTTTGGGGCATTATTATTTACTCTATTTATCAATGCTCTTCACTTGGTTTGTTTTAATTTTAACATTAAAATGTATGCAGATGATATTGTGATCTATGTACACTGTAACATTTTGACAACTATTGGACAGTAGAAATTTTCTGAAAGTAGTTACAATGTACTGATTAACTTTTGTAGTTAAAGATGGCTTCCAGAGCTAATTAACCTTAAAAAATGGTTGTAACTGTATCAGTTTCACAGACATTCAGCCAGTGGTGTAGTCTACATTTTTGTAGTTGGTATACTGTGCTTAGAAACCAAAGTACACTGGTTAGTACAATGTATGGAAATTGTCAATTTATTTAGATTTTTAAGCATATTGAACATTTCCAAATTTCTCTGATGCTTATATTTGAATAAATGTACAGCAAACTTTGTACAACTGTTGGCTTTGTATTGAAATGTACAACAAACTTTGTACAACTGTTGTCTTTGTATTGAAATGTACAACAAACGTTGTACAACTGTTGGCTTTGTATTGAAAACATGTTATAGAATTTATAAAACAGTATCAAAGCAAAGTATGTTCAAGCATAAATTAGTAAGTACAGAATTTAACAATAATTTGCTGGATAAGCAAATGTAATAAACAAGCGCTGCATACAGAAAAATTGTAAAGGAAGCATTTAACTGCCATTTAATGTATCAATGGCATGTGCCTAATGATGTGTCATGTATCATTGGACACTTTTAAATGGGTATACTGAAATTCTTAAGCTTTTTTAGTGGGTATACTCCGTATATCAGCGTATCGCGTAGACTACACCACTGCGTTCAGCTGATATTTGGTGTGTAAATGGATGAATGCCATCCCCTTCACAATGTCCAAGCAGTAACAGAAAGACTATTGTTAAAATCCAACATTTTTCAGTCAGGTCATCTGGAGTGTGTGGTGTGGTACGCCGGGGCCACTGCCAGGGACAGACTCAGACTGCAGCGCGTTGTGCGCTCAGCTGAGAAGGTGATCAGCTGCAGCCTTCCATCCCTCCACGACCTGTACGTCTCCAGGACTGTGAGGCGAGCAGGTCGGATCACAGCTGACCCTGCTCACCCTGCACACGGACTGTTTGAACCACTCCCCTCAGGCAGGAGGCTTCGGTCCATTCGGACCAGAACCTCCCGCCAAAAGAACAGTTTCTTCCCCTCTGCTGTTGGACTCCTGAACACTCATAATGCTACCTCATAATTTCTGCTTTGGTCACATTACATCTGTATTATAATTTAATACTCCATCTGTACTGTTCTCTAAGCTTTTTTATTGTTTTCTATTGTATGGGTGTACATATGGTTATGTTATGTTTTTAATTTTACTTTATTTGTGGGTGTACACAGGTCTTATGTCTTATGTAATGTTCTCATTTTTACTTAATTTTTACTTTATTTTTACTTTATTTTACTTTATTACTATTCACACCTTATGTCGAAGCAAATTCCTAGTTTGTGAACCTCGTTCATTGACATGGCAATAATAAACTGATTCTAATAAACTGATTCTGATTCTGGACAGTTTCTTTTTTTGTGTTGAAACATTTCACCTTCGATCCGGAAGGCTTCATCAGTCAAGGAAACACACAACATAACTGATTCTTCCCCCAACAGCTTACTCCAAAGTGGAACAAACCAGTTTTGTTTGTGATAAGATCGTCTTTTTGGTACGCCCCCTCCTCCATTGCTGACCCTCTTCCTTGTTGACAGTCGTGTCAAACTGGTTGAAAACAACAAAGTCCATGGTCAATAATCCAGGTATACAATCCAACATTTTTCAGTCAGGTCATCTGGACAGTTTCTTTTTTGTGATCTTATCAGAATCTTATCACAAACAAAACTGGTTTGTTCCACTTTGAATAGTAAACAGCCATCAGTGTGCTAATGATCCATTGTTAGGCTGATGGTCCTTCTTGAGCATGTGATCAGCTGGTTTTGGTTGTCAGCAGCAAAACTGGTTGATCCACTCTGAGACGGTGCTATTTAAGAGACTGAGCTGAATACAGCTCCTCAGACTGAGGAAGTCTCTCGGATGAGAGACGAAACGTTTCTACATTTTTTTGTTGTTTTGCTTTGTTGTTTTTTTTGTTTGTTTTTTTTGAATGTCCAGAGGACCAGATTTAACTTTTTTAGATTTTTCTACCTGGATTATTGAGCATGCATCAGGATGCTATGCAGTCCCTTGCTTCAAGGTATGCTATTTTTATATTTTAATCTGTTTTAACAGTACATTTTAATGTCAGCCCAAGGACAATAAATAAAAACTAGCCATCTGTCTAAATGCAGAAAATGTACTGTAAGAATTTTAATATGCAATGCCCTTGTTAAAATATAACAAAGTTAAACCTAAATATAAGGTTTAATAATGAATATTGCTTACTAAAAAGGCTACTTTTTTCTTACTCTAAATGCACAATTACAAAACACTCAAGTCTCACTACATATGTTCATTATTCTGCTGAGATAATGGCAGATGTGCCATAACCACACATAAGGGACTTGTCACTTTAAAAATCATCCACAAAACAGCAAAGATGAGAAAACTGCTACTAAAATCAAAGTTTCATAAGAAAAGGCAGACCGCAGCTGGAAACAAATTAGATGGAGGGATGGAACTTCATATAGGCCCACCCAACTCTGACTCTCCTGCCTGCCAGCTGTTTACTTCATTTATATTGAATGAGGTACATTTAAACATGCAAGTAAGTAATCCATATTCCTTTGCCATTAATATACAAAAACTGGTTCTGGGCAAGGTGTTTGTGCATCTGGGGCCTGAACTCAAAATGACAACTAATATGTGAAGAAATCACAAGTAAAATAAAAGTTAATACTTTGTTTTAGCACTTTAAACATTTAGATAGAAATAGTCTTTGCAACAATAGCTTTGAACAAAGATTGAGTTGCAACCCTTGGGTGTGTGTATTAGAATTAGCTAGGATCCCGTGGTAACCAACCTGATATCTTGCAGCCATAAACCTCAAACCGCAGTGCAATGCCTGTCTCCCAGGTAACTGGCCGGATTCGTAAGAAACGTGTCAGTGTGGGTTTAGGCAGCATTGTCTTGGCAACCTCTGTTGGGTTGGTGTTACCTTGAAAAATCTGTGAAAAAAGACAGGAGATAAAATTATCACTGACAGAAAAGCTAAGGTGAGTTTTCAGAAAAAAATGTTACCTTTAAAATTCAATTCAATTCAGTTCAATTCAGTTTATTTATATAGCACCAAATCACAACAAAGTTGTCACAGGGCACTTTACAGGAACATTCACATACATAAAAGCCAATTGGTAAAGTTCTCTATCTAAGGAGGCCAGCAGACAAGTAGAATCTTGGCTTCATTGCTGTCTCTCATCCTGAGCAAGCACAGTGGCAACAGTGGAAAGGAAAAACTCCCTTTTAAAAGGAAGAAACCTCCAGCAGAACCAGGCTCAGGACAAGCGGCCATCTGCTTTGACCGGCTGGTTTGAGAGGACAGAAAGTAGAGACAGACGAACATAGAACGGTAGGTCCAGGTATAGGTCCAGGTGTACCTCAAAGACAAAAAAACCCCCCACATGTTAAGGATTAAAAAAATTACAAATACAAAACAGGTTTAGCAGAGTAAGTAAAGACAGCAGCAGAGTGAAAAGTGTGGTCAGTTTGTCCTCCAGAAGTCTAAGCCTATAGCAGCATAACTAAGGGACAGCTCAGGAAACCCAAGACGACACAAACTATAGGATTTAACAAAAAGGAAAGTCTTAAGCCTAGTTTTAAACTTAGATAATGTGTCAGCCTCACGGACAGAGATTGGAAGTTGGTTCCACCAGAGAGGAGCCTGATAACTGAAAGATCTGCCTCCCATTCTGTTTTTGTAAATTCTAGGAACCACAATTAAACCTGCAGCCTGAGAGCGAAGTGCTCTGTTACGAAAATATGGAACAATAAAATCTGTAATATAAGATGGAGCCAGGTTGTTGAGAGCTTTGTAGGTTATACGTAAGATTTTGAATACTATTCTGGATTTGACAGGGAGCCAGTGGAGAGAAATTAAAACTGGAGAAATATGATCTCTCCTACAACAAAGTCCATGCTCAATAATCCAGGTATAAAATCCAAAATTTTTCAGTCAGGTCATCTGGACAGTTTCTTTTTTGGTGCTGAAATGTTTCGCCTTTGATCCGGAAGGCTTCATCAGTCAAGGAAACACACAACAAAATTGATTCTTCCTAAAGCAGCTTACTCCAAAGTGGAACAAATCAGTTTTGCTTGTGATTAGAGGTAAGGAAGAGGGCCGGCAATGGAGGAGGGGCGTACCAAAGAGACCATCTAATCACAAGCAAAACTGTTTATTTCCACTTTGGAGTAAGCTGTTGGAGGAAGAATCAATTTTGTTGTGTGTTTCCTTGACTGATGAAGCCTTCCAGATCGAAGGCAAAACTTTTCAGCACAAAAAAAAACAAAAAAACTGTCCAGATAACCTGACTGAAAAATGTTAGATTTTATTCCTGGATTATTGAGCATGGACTGTGTTGTTTTCAACCAGTTTGACAAGACTGTCAACAAGGAAGAAGGCAGGCAATGGAGGAGGGGCGTACCACAGAGACCATATAATCACAAGCAAAACTGGTTTGTTCCACTGTGGAGTAAGCTGTTGGAGGAAGAATCAATTTTGTTGTGTGTTTCCTTGACTGATGAAGCCTTACAGATCGAAGGCGAAACATTTCAGCACAAAAAAAAGAAACTGTCCAGATGACCTGACTGAAAAATGTTGGATTTTATACCTGGATTATTGAGCATGGACTTTGTTGTTTTCAACCAGTTTGACAAGACTGTCAACAAGGAAGAGGGCCACCAATGGAGGAGGGGCGTAACAAAGAGACCATCTAATCACAAGTGTAAATCCTTATTAAGTGAAACCTGAGCCTGACACTGCCATGGCCTCCGCCATAATTCTTGTCCAGAAAATTAATTATTCTCAGTGGCTTGGGTTTAAAGTTTTACTTAAAAATGAAACATGTACAGCAAAAAAGTAAGCAAAAACAACTTATCCACGATTTGGTAATTAAACAGGAAAAAAGCAAGGGAGGTCAAAAAACTGTTTGGCTTCACTCCCCAACTAGTCTGTCTGGACTTTCTCTCCTGACATGCCCCACCCACATCACATGACTTAAATAAACATGTTACCAACCTCAAACCAACAAAGATCTACACATAAAACAAATAGCTTCAGTTATACATATAATCTTTACAAAATTTAGTTTAGGCTCCTACATTACCGGCCCCTAATTGTTAACAATATCTTTGGAACAATTACTTAAACTCTTATCTAAGATGCCTAAACTATTTTTAAAGAAAATCTATTCAAACAATGTGTCCCATCTTATAATGTCTATAAAACAATGACCTTTGAAAATACCTTAATTCATCTTCAGATTCTTGAGGGAGACACACCTTTGTCACAGGGCGGCAAAGCTCGTTTGTCTTGGTCCTTAATTTAACTTGACGGACAAAACCTTTGCTGTCAGGAAATGTCTCCATTACCTTTCCAAGAGTCCAGGAATTTCTGGATGAGGTGTCATCAACAATGAGTACCACATCACCAACATGCAAGTTTCTTCTGGATGTGGACCATCGCTGTCTTTCTTGGAGTTGTGTGAGATATTCCTTACACAATAGTTTCCAGAAGACATCCGAAAGATACTGAATCTGTCTCCATCTGCATTTAGCATACTGGTCATCTTTTTTGAACACTCCAGGGGGTAGATCAGGTTTGACTTTGAGTAGATACAGATGATTAGGTGTTAACGCTTGTAAATCATTCAGATCCGAAGATGCTGTTGTTATGGGCCTACTGTTAATGATTGCTTCAGCCTCACACAGCAAAGTATGGAGCCCATCTTCATCCAAAATCTGCTCCTTAACAGTGGTGTTCAGAATCTTTCTCACTGAGCGAATCAAACGCTCCCAGCTTCCTCCAAAGTGGGAACCTGCTGGAGGATTAAAGTACCATTTGACACCTTTTTGCTGCAGTGTCTTCATGATCTTGCTTGTGTTCCATTCACTAATAGATTTCTTCAACTCCAAATCAGCTGATCAAACGTTTGTTCCATTGTCAGAATACATTTCTTTAACTTGTCCTCTTCTGGTTATAAATGTTCTTATAGCATTGAGGCATGCATCTATGTCGAGTGATGGTGCAACTTCTAGATGTACTGCTCGTATGGTGAGACATGTAAAAATAACACCATATATTTTTATCTGTCCTCTTCCCCTTTTCACCATGAATGGACCAAAATAATCAACACCGACTCTTGTGAATGGTGGATCATCAGGCTGGACCTGACATTTTGGCAGGTCTGCCATGAGTTGATTGCCTGGTGTACTATGCAATCTTCTGCATGTGATGCACTTGGCTAAAAACCTTCTGATGACTCTGTTTGCTCCAGGGATCCAGAATCTCTGTTGTAATTCAGCCAACATGTGATTCCTTCCTGCATGACCTGTCATGTTATGAATGTCTCCTAGGACAAGTCTAGTGATGTAGGAATCCTTTGGCAGAATTACTTGCTGCTTAGAATCATATGGCAAAGCTGCTCGACTCAGCCTTCCTCCAACAAGAATGACTCCATCTTGCAAAACTGGATTAAGCTTGTATAGTGAGCTGCACTTTTTCACCTTGTGATGTTCCTTCAGCATCACTAAGTCCTAATTAAACTCTTTTCTTTGGTAGTGCTTCACAGTTTCTGTTTCTGCCTTCATTAAATCTTCACAGAAAATATAAACGAGGGCAGAAGAGCTGCGGTGGCTGTTGACAAACTCTACATCAACGGTCAGCTGTTTAGAGATCCAGAGGTTACTCCCTGGCTCTATTAATAATATAAATAAGGTAAGTATGATCTTCAGTTGCTAATTTTACTTAAAATGTATTAGCAAGCATATATATTCATATTACTTACCAGATATTTATGTAATTTTTCAGCACAGCTCGGTTGGTGGGTTACACAGATGGTGGTGGTACACGGTGGCATGACACTTAATGTGGTAAGGGGGTTCTTTTTTTATTTTTTCTTCTTTTATCTTTATGTGTTTATTATCATTTCACTTTCTTTTTTTTGTCTCTATTTTTCTGACTCAACAATTATTAGCACACAGGCACAAAGGCTTATATATATCCATATACATACATACATACAAATACCTCATAAAGGAATACATCCATGATCTACCTTCAAAAACAGCACTTAGTTTATCTATAAATCATAAATAATCAATCATTAAGGATTATGTTATTGTCTGGGTGTTTTACTATTTTTGATATTTGTGATAATGGGTGTGGCTTAATTATATTTTCACAAGCACAAATATGGGTATCTTAAGGTTTGTCACATGGAATATTAATGGAGCCGGTAGCCAACATAAAAAAAATAGAATCTTTAGCCAGATTAAAAGATTAAAGGCAGATGTTGTATTACTCCAAGAGATTCATAAATTACCGTCAACTGTGGATGAGCTAAAATCTCCTGAGTTTCCTCATGTATTCTCAGCCTGCTACAACTCAAGACAGAGAGGAGTAGCAATATTAATTCATAAAAATGTGAACTTCACAATATTAGACACAGTTATAGACCCGCAAGGTAGATATATAATATTAAAATTATCCATACTCAGTCAAAAATATTGTATTGTTAGTTTATATGGGCCAAACGTGGACGATGCTGCTTTTTTTCATGATCTCTTCTCTACTCTATCAAATCACATGGATTGCTCGCTGGTACTGGGAGGTGATCTTAACTTTGGTCTAGATAACAAAATAGACAGGCTTAATGCAGTAGGAGCTCAACGCAGTTGGCAATCCATAAATGTAGTTAAACAGTACATGAGTGATTATGGACTCTGCGATGCATGGCGGTCTCTTCACCCTAATAGTAAAGAGTATTCTTTCTTTTCACATGTGCATCACTCTTACTCTCGTCTGGATTATTTTATAATCAGCAACTCATTGCTGACCAACATTTCAGACACTAAGATACACCCTATTGCTGTCAGCGATCATGCACCAGTTACTTTAAATTTAGATAATAAGAAAGAAATCCCAAAAAGTATAAACTGGAGATTAAATACC